CTTTTTCGAAAATTTATATATAACACAAAGAATTGAAGAAAGTGGTTTATAAAACGTTTCGAAAATGGACGTATCGTGTACTTCTAATTACTTGCGATAACAGTGAATTTGTCATTTAAACGCGCCTCTTTTACAATAAGCAAACTTGCATTTAATTTCCAATTAGTCTTCCCCATATTTGAGACATACAGCCAAGTTCCACGCGAGCGCATACTCATCTCGCGTCAAGGAGAAGAAGAAGAAGAAGAAAACCTGTTTCTAAAACCGCAGACAATTTTATTCGTCACATTTTTTCTGTCTTCCTTCATCATCAAGGTTTTGTCCTTTAAATTCAAAAATAGTTATTTTTTCTCCCATTTTTCCTCTTTTTAATTTATAGAAATTTTTATTTTTTGTTTCATTATTCTATTTTTTTCTTTTTCTTAGTAGATATTTCAAGTTTATCGGAAAAGTCATAACATTCAAAGTGATAATTCTTTTCAATGTATGTGTGATATTAAAAAAAATTAGTATAGTCGATTATAGTGGCGCCAAGCGATTATTTCACAATGAAAAAGAATTTAGTCCTCAACATGTAAACAAGATGTTTGCTATATAGTTGATTTTGTAAATCTTGAATTTATCTCTATGTATTTTTTTATAGCAATATATGTATTAAATAAAACAAATTGAGAAAAGAGAAAAGGATGAAATTGAGACTTATTTTTAGAATAAATATAACGGTTCTTGTTTTTCTCACGTGGGTGTCTTATCAGCTATTTCTAATTTGAATAATTCATAAAGACGATAGTGAGTTAACTGATAGTGGTGTCGTCAAAAGGCACATTGTGCAAAATAGAAGCCAATGCCCTGTTAATCATGATTGTTCACTCTTCTTATCGTATATATAATATTAATAATATATGCATCATCATTTTCTATGCAACAAGATTTTTATTTTTATTTTCGATAATCATTTTTCTGAATACATTTTTATATTTATAATTTTTTCTTCAAGTTAAAATTAACTCTGAAAAGTCATTTACTTTTGTGGTCGATTACGTTTCACTTTTGAAACATAATTTCCGTTCAAGTTCGCAATTATATAGTATCCCCTTGACAAAGTATATGACCATTTAGTTGCGTATTTCATTCAAATATAACAATTCACCTTGACATAAATTAGTCCCACAAGTATTACTCTGTTTCTATATAAAATAACGATTCAAAAAGGAAATGACAAAAATAAAAACGATTTTCCTATTGGTATATAATATAACATACAAAATCTTTTTATATCCTTTTTATAAATTTTTGATTTCCAATGAGATAAAACGAGATTGGTTATGTAAAACAGGATCGTAAAAGGGTGTGAAATCCCTGATTTGTGTTGGTATGAATCCACGAGGCAACTTATTCATACCATCAACTGTTTAAATATAAAAGAAAGTGTCGCCTACATATTAGATTTAAAGATTTCGATTAGTCGTCGTGTGAAAATGAAAACAGCGACATTTAACTTCCTGGTGTCGATATCGTCATTCGGGTAAAACGAAATCTTTTATACAAGTCGCAAAAACTACTTATTTCTTGGGGCGTGAATGGTTAAAGGTTCTTTTTCTTTTTTTTTGTTTGAAGCGAGAACCGTAAAGTGGCCCGAAGCTATTTTATAGTTTGCACGGCTTCGTATGCGCGCACTGCTTGTGAAGGCATTGTAGTTTATCTTGCGGTAAACAAGCCGTGCACCAGGAAAGGCCGTGTTACGTAAGGTTAATTGCGGTCGTTCAGGTTGCCGTGGCTTCTGCGGGTGCAGTATCAAGTGAGATTCTTATCAGTGGACCTTGATCTCGCACTGATAGTTCGCCGATATCTTCCACACGAATTCTTTGCCCAATACACAAACACGATTCGAGCCATAATTTCATTCGAAATAGATTTGCACATCTATCTTTAGATCTATTTTATCTTGGTTTCTTATTTTTAGAATCCGAGAAAGCAAGACTGGAAAATCTTTATTGAATTTGTATTGAACTGATGAAATTCTGCTGGTGTTGGTACTGATTGGAAGAGGTTGTGTTCGGTTGGGTTAGAAAATAAGGAACCAAAATAATTCTGATTGTTTGTTGCTGATTAGTACAGAAGAAATTGGGTTTGGTTGGGTCAGACCGAACAAATTTTGGTTGTTTGTTGCTGATTAGTACAGAAGAAATTGGGTTTGGTTGGGTCAGACCACACTAATTCTGTCTGCTTGTTGCTGATAAGTACAGAAGAAATTGGGTTTGGTTGGGTCAGACCGAACTAATTCTGTTTGTTCATTACTGATTAGTACAGAAGAAATTGAGTTTGGTTGGGTCAGACCGAACTAATTCTTCATGCTTGTTGCTGATTAGTACAGAAGAAATTGGGTTTGGTTGGGTAAGACCGAACTAATTCTGTTTGTTTGGTTGGGTCAGACCGAACTAATTCTTCCTGCTTGTTGCTGATTAGTACAGAAGAAATTGGGTTTGGTTGGGTAAGACCGAACTAATTCTGTTTGTTTGGTTGGGTCAGACCGAACTAATTCTTCCTGCTTGTTGCTGATTAGTACAGAAGAAATTGGGTTTGGTTGGGTAAGACCGAACTAATTCTGTTTGTTTGGTTGGGTCAGACCGAACTAATTCTTCCTGCTTGTTGCTGATTAGTACAGAAGAAATTGGGTTTGGTTGGGTAAGACCGAACTAATTCTGTTTGTTTGGTTGGGTCAGACCGAACTAATTCTTCCTGCTTGTTGCTGATTAGTACAGAAGAAATTGGGTTTGGTTGGGTAAGACCGAACTAATTCTTCCTGCTTGTTGCTGATTAGTACAGAAGAAATTGGGTTTGGTTGAGTCAGACCGAACTTATTCTGTCTGCTTGTTGCTGATTAGTACAGAAGAAATTGGGTTTGGTTGGGTAAGACCGAACTGATTCTGTCTACTTGTTGCTGATTAGTACAGAAGAAATTGGGTTTGGTTGGGTCAGACCGAACTGATTCTGTCTGCTTGTTGCTGATTAGTACAGAAGAAATTGGGTTTGGTTGGGTCAGACCGAACTGATTCTGTCTGCTTGTTGCTGATTAGTACAGAAGAAATTGGGTTTGGTTGGGTAAGACCGAACTAATTCTGTTTGTTCATTACTGATTAGTACAGAAGAAATTGGGTTTGGTTGGGTAAGACCGAACTAATTCTGTTTGTTTGGTTGGGTCAGACCGAACTAATTCTTCCTGCTTGTTGCTGATTAGTACAGAAGAAATTGGGTTTGGTTGGGTAAGACCGAACTAATTCTGTTTGTTCATTACTGATTAGTACAGAAGAAATTGAGTTTGGTTGGGTCAGACCGAACTAATTCTGTTTGTTCATTACTGATTAATACAGAAGAAATTGGGTTTGGTTGGGTAAGACCGAACTGATTCTGTCTACTTGTTGCTGATTAGTACAGAAGAAATTGGGTTTGGTTGGGTCAGACCGAACTGATTCTGTCTGCTTGTTGCTGATTAGTACAGAAGAAATTGGGTTTGGTTGGGTCAGACCGAACTGATTCTGTCTGCTTGTTGCTGATTAGTACAGAAGAAATTGGGTTTGGTTGGGTCAGACCGAACTAATTCTGTTTGTTCATTACTGATTAGTACAGAAGAAATTGGGTTTGGTTGGGTAAGACCGAACTGATTCTGTCTGCTTGTTGCTGATTAGTACAGAAGAAATTGGGTTTGGTTGGGTCAGACCGAACTAATTCTGTCTGCTTGTTGCTGATTAGTACAAAAGAGGTTGTGTTGTTGTTTATTTGGATCAAAAAATAAATAATACAGAACAAATTCTGCCATTTAATGCAGAGTACTGCTTCTCAGAATTTTCAAGCTTTTGGAACACTAAACAAATTAAAGTATACTTGGTACTAAACCAGTACTGTTCTAAGCTATACCTGTGATTGCTAAATGCGCATTTACTGTCAAAAACCCTCTTCTTCAGTATCATAATCCAATGTAATTCTAAAATTAAAACTAGTTCAGTATTTACCCATCCTATCACCATCCGTACGGACAGTTCAATCTGGACCTAATCCCAAACAGATTTAGCTAATGCAGATTCAACACCAAAATTGGCGAGAAATTTTCAAATTAAATCCAGTAACATAATCCGTATAAATCTAAATTTCAATAACTTTTCTCCATACTCTTTGGATGATGCAATTATTTCCTCAACATTATTATAATAAGATCTCTTTTCTATACAACACTTTAGTTAAAATTTGGCACGCACAAAATACGTGCCACAGCCTCAGACAGCAAGTCTTTTGTCTGATGACCAGTTGTGAAAATGTGACTTCGTCACGTTACTAATCCACTCGCCGTTATATTGCCCACAACGCAAGGCTATTTTGTGTGTTGGTATTTCGCAGATGGTAAGACTAATCTCTGCGAAAATATATACTATATAATTAGCTCTCGTGACTAACGCATGTGTACTCTCTCTGTCTATAAATATAACGAGTGCAGGGATCATCATCATATCGGTTGCAGGTGGCTGTTTTCATATATAATGAAAAAAATAAGAATACAAAGGATTTTTAAAAACCAAAACTTGAAAGACAGTAAAAAGGAATAGCCTCGAAAAAAAAGAGGCTGCTGTTAATTACACCGCAAACCCAATGTTCTGTTTTAACTTCTTAACGGCATTTCACTTTATTCCGGTGCATTTTGAAGAAGATTTATCATGGGTGACGACGCGTCGGCGAGTAAAGATCAAAGCCATTTTAAAAATGTACGAAATATTACCTTAATTGAGTTATTATACATTTTACATTGACATTTCGGTTTTTATAAAAATAAATTCCTCCTTATCAGAATTAAGAATCCGTTTTGGAAACGCTAACAATGACTGTACTTTTTTGACTATAGATAATTTATTCTCACATGAATTGGCATAATACAATGTAATTTAAAACGGTTGATTACTAATTACATATTATGAGTATGAATCTAAGAAATAATTTTTTCTCTGTTACAGGCGAGAGTGGAAATTTGTTCAATGAGATAATGCGCAAAAATGGAGACAGTGCGTGAGAATGGAGCTCGTTGGGTGAATGGATCAACGGGAAGTGAAGTGTCGGGTTCGCCCTCAAAAAGTGTGAATCATTTAAAAATCGTGGAATGTGATGTTGACAGTGACAAGGTTCCTGAAGAATTTACAAAGGAAGAAATGGATCCGTACAAGGAATTGGAATTATACCTCGCGAAAGTAAATGTAAGTTTTCTTTCTTCATTAAATTTTTCCCTATTTATAAATTCAACGAAATGAAGCGATGATTAATTAAGACATCGTCAAATGTCACGTGAAGGCAACTTAATTGGAATTGTAAAATTGAATTTATGTTTTTATTTTGATTTTTCGAAAAAAAATTACGTTCAGAAGCTAGAGGGCACATCTCATTACTTTTGTATATATATACGAAACGTTATTACAAGACATAGATGATTCATAGTTTCTTTGCAAAGGGTCATGGAGGCTCGATCGGGTCGAGTCTTCGTATCACGTGCAGATCGTTTGACGTTTGCCATAACGGTTCTCTTTTCTCTAAACCTAACCGCTTATTTTTCCCCCCCAACATCAGAGATTTGTCTTATTTGCTTTTATCCAAGGAAGTAATTCTTTAGTCACCCTCTTTTAAATCGTCAATTTCAACACGTAAACGACCTATGTTACTTATATCAAAACATCATCTCTGGTAACGATGCTTAATGAAGATAGAATATACCTTCATCATAAACAAAGATACCGCAAATTTATCTTCTTATATTATAGCGCGGGAAAAACATCTTCATTAAGATGTTTACGATTAAAGATTATCATCAAAAAAGGAGGGAGAGAGAATTCACAAATTTTTACAAAAGGAATTTATAATAAGAATCGACAAGAGAGGATTGATGTGATTGAAATCGGAACATTTTGTATTGGAAAAAAAAATTTTTTTTTAAAGATCCATCTCATCGATCTCCGTTTCTTGATCATCTGTATAGGAAACTATATATAAAACAAATTGAAGTTGACACTTCGATCCACGTACGAGATTCTGAAACATGTTTTGCAATGAAGTATTCCCTCTTTATTTCCATCACACTTCCTCGTCTTTTTTTTCATATTTTGCAATCAGGTTGCTTTTTCCAGGTGCGTGGGTGTTTAACTATGTTTTAGCCCCTCTCATCTATAATGATAAAACCGGTTCTTCTCATTTGTATAAAATTATTGACACTATGATGATACGAGATTTTTTGATTTTGAAATTTCTTCATTCAAAAATTGTTGTTTATTAATTTTAATTATTCGTTATTTGAAAATTTCAAGGTTTTTTTGAGTTGATAACTTTTAGGAACAAGTTGTGTATGCAGGGCACGTGTTTGTACACATGCGTCATGCTTGTGCAACGTCACCACACGAACCATTCTCCCAAGAGTATATATGTATATATATATGTGTTTCTGTATCATGAGTCGCTACCACTTTACCAGTCATAGATAGTCTCCTCCTCTTTCTCCTCTGCTCGAAGTTCCGCGAAGTAGAATTGAGTAAACTTGGTACTCTAACACAAGGTACATAAAGTTAGAAAATACTCTTTGGTCAAAGGTACACATATTCACATGTTACCCAACACGTTCGCGGTTTTCCAACTTTTCTCATTTCAATTTCTATAAAAATTCGATTATCCTCGTTTAATAATAATTATTATAATAACTATAAATTATAAATAATTACTAAAATAATTATTACAATAATTGTTACAATATTTACTAAAATACTTATAATAATAATAAATTTTATTTATTCAAAATTATTTTAATTATCAATTTCAAGAAATAAGCAGTAATAAAAACGGAATTTATTCCTCGATTTATTCTAAACAACGATTTTTTCACACTAATCTTTAATGACGAATTATTACGTATGAAAACGATTATAAAGAAGGAAAAAAAAATAAATTATGAGTCAAGTTCTCATAAAGATTTTGCACTTTAATAATAATAAGCCAAGAAATCACTTTATATAATCAACTCATTACAACAGTGGGTGGGCCAAAGCGATATGAAATTGCCATCCTGTAATTTCTTTACTCAGTTTATCTCTTCAGATAAGGCCCTAAATTTTTTATTTCGTGATTTAAAATCCAGAGGCGAGAGGAAAAAAAAAAGTTACATTTTTTTTTATTCCTGACACGTAGTTTTGGGGGAAAAAAAAAATAGCAAAACTTGACAATTAGCGAAAACAATTTTTTTTTTTTAAAGACGACAATAAAAACTTGTTTTACGCTTGTTTACATCATCGAGTATCATTTTGCGCATTTTTAAAATTTTATATAAAGAAGTGATCAAAGCAAAGCGAAATCGCTAAAATATATATTGATGATTTATTTCTATATAATTTTTTTTTTTTTCGAAAAAAATATATATATCTTTACTATGGGCATCAGATGACAGGAGAATATTTATACTTTATGGGAGTTGTGGAGAGAATTATGAAGGTGCAAGGGACAGTGTGATAATCCTTTTTATAAAACCGATATATCAGCGATTTCGTATTTTACGTTCGTTCTTTTAGATTATTTTCTATGATGAAAGATTCGAGAATTTTTATTATTCTTCGAAATAAATAAAAAAAAAAAGAAGTTATGTAACCATTCTCCAATTAATTTTTTTTCCTCGCCAAAAAAAAATGAATTCAATTAATTCCGCGTCGCATCTCTTTTGAGAAGTTTAACAAGGGATAATAAAATCTTTGACTAGGGACCTCTGTCTTGTCATTTTAATAGCACGTCCATTATAGAATGACCTATAATTTTCGTTGAAATAAGTTGACACTAAACCTGTCATCATTTTTCTTTTTTTTTTCTCTCTCTCAAACAAAAATTGAAGGATTGTGAATGTGTAAATTGTTTTCTTTTTTTTGTTTCTTTTTTGGTGTCCTTTTTTTTGTGGGATGTAGTAAATCACTTCATTTCGTGCAGAGGGCTATTCCACGAAGTGGAAACTTGGAAGAGAAGAAGAGATGCAAAAACGCAAGAAGATTCTCTCTTCTGCCTGCGCAACAATAGGTTGAATGCCTCTCGGCAACATGGATCCCGGCGTTGTAACTCAAAACGCCAGGAACTCTCTGAACCAAGTGAGAGAGAGAGAGAGAAAGAAGGAGAGAGAGAGAATATCCGGATGTCATTCCTCGCATCCCTCGCATGGCAGGCGCCGCGCAGAAACCTCTCTCTCTCTCTCTCTCTCTCTCTCTCTCTCTCTCTCTCTCTCTCTCTCTCTCTCTCTCTTTTTCCTTCTTTTGTGTATTTTGCATTTGAAGATATTATCGAGTCAAATGAAAGTGAACCGCTTGTGTTTATATATACGCGAACTGATTTCTAGATACGATGACGAAACAAACGATTCTTCACCTGTTTAGTAATTTTTTTTTTTTTAAATGAAAAATTTTAGATTCCAGAAATTTAAATTTCAAAATATCTACCTAGGATTTTGCACGAGAGAGAATTTTCCTACTTTTTTTTCTATACACTGAAAAAAAAATTTATTTGATTCAAATACTCGATTACTTGAGTATTATCAAATAAATATTTATTTGAACCAAATAATTTTTATTTGAATTAAATAAATTGTATTTGAACCAATTATTTCTGTACTTGAAACAAATACCATTTAATTGACTCAAATAATAATTATTTGATACAAATAAATATTTATTTGATAATAGTCAAGTAATCGAGTATTTGAATCAAATAAATTTTTTTTTCAGTGTACTATTATCAAATAAATATTTACTTGAGCCAAATAATTTTTATTTGAATTAATTAAATTATATTTGGACAAATAATTTCTGTATTTGAAACAAATACCAATTTAAACAAATAAATATTTATATAATATAGTCAAATAATTCGATTATTTAATACAAATAAATATTTATTTGATAGTCAAGAAATTACTTGAATTAAATAAATTTTTTTTTCAATGTAGTATAGCGAAGGGCAAAGTCATGCGGGAACTTTAAATCTTTCAAGTGCATTCACTTAGAAATTTATCTACGATTATTATTATTGAATAGTTGTCAAGGGGTGTTTAAAAAATTATACAGGTGTGAAAATTTGGGACATTAAACCTACTATTATATACACACACGTCATTGGAAAAAAAAAATATTCGAGATCCTTTTTAATCCGTCACGCCTTCTTTTCAATAAATTCTTCGACCCCACACCAATTGTCAAATTAAATTGCCATTAATCAAATTTTTTATTTTTATTAAATATTAAAAATTAAATTATTTTTATTAAATAAATAATATTAATTTTTCATTTGATTTAAATTATTTTATGTAACAATATTTAATATTTGAAAAAATTATTTCCCACGTGGAAAAAACAAAAAAAAAAAAAAAAATTCTTATGTTTACTTTAAGGAAATAATACGTATTCATTAAACTATGCGATAGGATCACGTGCACATATAGTTAAAATACAAGTCTCCGAATCTGAATTGAACACGGAACCTATAGTTTTCGCGCAGCGTAAGCAAATTATAGTTCACTCGCCATTCACGCTTGTCTGCCTCGTGTAACTAAGGAACGCTTATTCACAAGAGCAACAAGTGGAATGTATATACATATATATATGGTCGACAATTCAATATGAACACTATATATATATGCGACCAGGTTGCGATTGTTATCGTTATAGAGGCAATCGGGGAGTTTCAGTATGTATATGCTTTGAAATAAATTTTATATAACAATAGACTATAAAAATTGTTTCTATTTTGTAGAAAATTTAATTATTTCGTGTTTTCAAATATCGGTGAATCAAAAACTATATCAAATTTATCATATGTTTCTAATTTTCAATTAATGGTACCAGTAAATTTTGATACTTTCAATTAATGGTACCAGTAAATTTTGATACTTTCAATTAATGGTACCATTAAGTATTGACATTTTTAATTGATGTCATCATTAAAAAATAGTAATTTTTAATAATTATTTGTAATTTTTATTAATGGTACTTTAATTAATGGTACATTAATTAATGGTACTTTAATTAATGGTACATTAATTAATGGTACTTTAATTAATGGTACTTTAATTAATGGTACTTTAATTAATGGTACTTCAATTAATGGCAGTTTTAATACTGGTATTTTAATTAATGGTACTTTAATTAACAAAAGGTACCAGTAACTTAAGTACCAGTAATTAAGGTACCAT